GGCTCGGAGCTGGCGCTGCGGTGGAGCAGCAAACCAGAGCTGAAGCCACGGCAGACAACAGCCGAGACCGTTTCGGTCGACGAGGTTGGAGTCGCCTCGGGACGTTCAGCTCCTTCTTCGTGACGAGCTTATTAATCGCATCGATCAGCGTGCCGGTCTTGATCGTAGCGTTGACCATAGGTTCGTCGCTCACCTGGGGTCGGCTGGCTGGCTTGGCGGGTCGCTCCATGCCAGCGTCCTCGATGGCCTGCCAGTCTTCTGGCTGCAACTTGATCGCGGGGTGGCCCGCGGCGTTCGTCATGAGCTTCTGGGCGGAGTTCCCGATGCGGATCTGGCCCTTGCCGAGATATGTCGATCTTGAAAGGCCGCGTGCAGTCGCGGCCGATGAGCAGGCCAAGCGCGGGCCTGTCCACGACGCTGAACACGACGCGGCCGGCCTGGCCGCAGAGCACGAGCGGCGCGGTGACGCGCAGCTTGCTCGGGGGAGCGTCTCCGTTGCCGAACCTGTAGATCTCGTCCTCGGGCTCCTCGGGGATCTGGTCGGCGAGGCCCATCCTGGTGAGGATGTCCTTGTAGTTGTCGTACCACTTCCTGCCCGAGACGCAGACAAGGCAAGCGGCATCCAGCGCGCCGATGCCTTCGTCCGTGGATTTCCCGGTGCCGATCGCGACGTTCACGTTCGGCAGGTGGTGAATCAGCCGCTCTGAGAGGCCTCAGGCGGCGGCGACGCAGGTCCCTGCGGGTGAAGGGCAATTTCCTCGTCCGCACTCTTGCTAAGGAAGGGGGTCCTCCGTGTTCCCCAAAGTACCAAGGCCATCGTCCCACGAGGGGATCCTCTGGGAATCCTTCGCGCTCCCGAAGGAATCCTCAAGACTCCCTAGGGACTCCTTAGGACTCCCAAGAGTGTCACAAGACGGTCCAAAGAGGGGCCCAAGAGGGGGAGCCTGAACCGACATTCCGAGCTCTCCGCCCCCAAACGGCCCCAGGTGGGCCCAGGAGGCACCCAACAGGGCCCATGAGGCCCCCGAGAAACCCTCAAAGAAGCCCCAAGAGGCCCCCAAGAGGCCCCCCAAGAGGCCCCCAGGAAGCTCAACCGAAGCCCCAAGTACCACTTGACGCATGTAACTTCTAGACCGCAGCCCAGGCAACAAGGATCTCAGGCCGACGACCAAGGCACGGTGGCGGGATGGGCCGAAGGTCAATTTTTTTACACACGCATGTGTGTGCGCGTGTGTGGAATATGTGTATGTGTGTATATGTATACACTTATACATATACATATATATATATACATATATAAAGCTATACATATATATATATATATATATATATATATATAATATATATATATATATATATATGAACTGCCGCGGGCATATGCCTCGATCGAGAAGATCAAGAGGAGAAGGACGAGGAGATGGTAAGAGGAGGAAGAGGAACAAACAGAAAAACGATTTCGTCGCCGCCGCCGATGTCTCACAGATCTTCGCGGTCTTTCGACCACCCGAGGCATCTCCTCGAATTCAGCCTCCAAGAACCGCTTTCGTCTGGGATGAGGATCGACCTTCCTGGCCGCTGCTACCCCTTCGCAAAGGAAACAACACGGGGTGGATCGAGGCTCGAGGCAGCGAGACTCCTAGTTCTTGGGCGGTCTCCGCCCCCTTCTGGGCCTTCAGGAAGCTCCTCGTCGATACAACTGGGTGCACTCTCGAACTTCTGGCCGGACGCAACCCCAGCTGGGTCTCAACGATCCCCGAACCTATCCAGGAGGTGGAAAAAGAGGCCTGGGACAGGACCCGCGAAGGCCCCAAGAACTCACATAAGACAACGAAGAACTTCAAAACAATCCCCTGCAAGGCCCCCCCTTGAACTCCAAGGGGTCGGCGGTGCGGCGTAAGCCAATGAATTCACGTCCGGAGGTGACGTGCTGAGCGGCAGCGTTTTTCGGCGAACGCCTTAATGCAACGTATCCAATGTATCCAATGATGGCATAATTGCCACATGTTGCATTGCGTTAATTTATTATGTCCCTTGGGAGCTGCGCCACAGGAGCGGACCAAAGTGCCCCCCCCCCCCTCCTGGGGCTCAAAAACCTACCAAAACCTATAGAAAATCTATGATTTCGACTTCTTGGGCCTCTTGGGGGGCCAAGAAGGCGCCAAAACGGCTCAAGATGGGCTCTGCGCGGGCCAAGACGGCCCCGAGACGGTCCAAGACGGCCCCAAGAGGGCCCCAAAAGCCCCAATGACGGCCCAAGAGGGCCCCAAGAGCGCCCACAACTGCGCCTCCAGAGGCCGAAATCATTGATTTCCCCTTGGTTTGGTAATATTTTAGCGTTCTCGCCTTTGCGGCTCAAGCAGCTTCCCAAATCGCTCCAGAACAACCCAAGAAGCCCCCAAGAGAGCCCCAATACGGCCCAACCGAACCCCAAGACGGCCCAAAGAGGCCCTCGAAGACTGTCCAAGAGGCCCTTTATGACGGCCCAAGAGGACCCCAAGACGGCCCCAAGGCGGCCGCGAGAAGCCCCCAAGACGGCCTCCGAAGGGGCGAAACGGTGCAAAAACGCCCCAATACGGGCAAAGACGCCCCCAAGAGGCCCCAAGAGGCCCCCAAGGGGCCCCCAAGGGGCCCCCAAAAACTCCCAAGAGGCCTCCAAGATGTCCCCAAGAAGCCTCCCAAAGGCTCCAAAGAAGCCCCCCAAAGGCCACACAGCGACTGGAGTGCAATGTCATTTTTCCAATCTGGGCGAACTGCGGCGCAGCGCCAGCCAGGTGGAAGTTGGTCACAGCGGCGCCCATGATTAGAGCCGGCGCTGGAAGGAAATATGGGGAGGGAGTATGAAAAGGAGGGAAGGGGGAGAGGCCCCAAAGAAGTCCCCAAGAGGCCCAAGAAAGCTCCCAGGAGGCCTCCAGGAGGCCCCCAAGAGGCTCCCAAGAGGCTCCGCGACGGCGTGACTGTACGTGCTCCGGACGTGCACCCCGCGAAGCGAGAGGAATCCTCACGAATCCCGCAGGAACCCTTAGGAATGCCTGAGGAATCTTTAGGAATCCCTAGGGAGTCTCTCTCTCTCTCTCTCTTTCTGTCTCTCTGTCTTCCTCCTCCTTACACTGACGACCGAAACAAATGACGACGACGAGTGAAGATTCGCCCGCAAAATACCCAAGACCCAACAAGACGTCCTCAGCACCGCCTAAGAGGCCCCTAGACTCCCACACTGCCCAGGACGCCCCCAAGAGTGCGCCAAGCTGACCCAAGAGTGCCTCTGGAAGAATCCAAGACGGCCTCAGAGGCTCAGAAGGCCCATCGGTGGCCAAAAACTGCCCCACGAGAACCTCCAGACGCTCCCAAGAGCCAAAAAGGCACCGAGACGGCCCAAGAGAACCGTAAGGACGGCCTTCCTTTTCTCCATCCGCATCATAATCATCATCATCGTCAGCAGCAGCAGCATCATCATCATCGTCATCATCAGCAGCACCGTCATAGTCAACATCGTCAGGATCGCAATCATCATATTCGCCGCCAGTGTGGAAATCGCCGTCGTCGTCAGCCGCAGCATCATCATCACCATCATCATCATCAGCAGCATCACTGTCATCATCCTCGTCATCATCCTCTCCATATTCGCCATCCTTTGCATCGTCATCACTGTTACTATGGGCATTGTCGTTTACGTCGACATCGTCATCACCATCATCAATATCATCCACCTCATCATACTCACCATCATCATCACCATCATGATCATCAACATCAACATCAACATCATCATCATCATCATCATCATCGTCGTCGTCACCGTCATCATCATTATCGCCGTCGCATTACTCATTCCCCTTGCCCTAGACGGCCTCAGCACCGCCAAGAGAAACGCAAGGTCGTGGTCAACGTCGTCGTCGTGGCCTTCGTCGTCGTCGTCGGCGGCAGCGGCAGACAGACAGACAGGGAGACAGAGAGGGCGATGACGACGACGACGACGACGACGACGACAGGGACGCACAGGAGCGCCACAACGGCTGCATCATCCTCCTCCTCTTCCTGCTGCTGCTCCTCCTTCCTCTCCTGCTACACTCCTCCTCCCCTGCGTCCGTTGCGTTGCGTTGCGTTGCGTTTCGCCTGGGGGGGGAGGGTCCGTTGCGTTGCGTTGCGTTGCGCCTGGGGGGGGCGGCGCCAGCGAGTGGTTTTGCCAACAACAATATCAACAACAACGACAATCCGCACCGCAGAGCCTCACTTCAGCCACGCGCCCAGACAGTGAATGACCGTTCGGCCACCTCACTCTGACAAAACAGGACACCCCCAGCTCCACTCCTGCTGGAAAGCCCAGGAGCGGCACGCGCAACCCACGGCGCAACAAGTTGCAGGTCGTCTTATTATCGGCGGCCGAGCGCGAAACCTATGGCGCAACCAATCGCACGCCGGTGTAATCTCGGCGGACGACCAACGGGATGCCGTTGTGTTAGCGGAGGCCGAGCGCGCAACCTATGGCGCAACCGGTAGGCGGCCGATTTGTTCTCGGCGGCCGAACTCGCAACCCATGGAGCAGCCAACATCCAGCCGTCTGATTCCCAGCGGCCGGTAGCTAAACCTATGGCACAACCACTAGCTGGCCATTTGACTCTCGGCTGCCCTATTGCGCAATCGATGGGAAGTCGTAGTATCCTCGGCGGCTGGGCGCGAAACCTATGGCGCAACCGAGGGATCTCGCAATCCCTGGCGCAACCCAAGGGTGACGCAACCGAAGGCACAACCCATGGATTGCGCAACCCACGGCGCGCCACATGGATCGCACGCACGCCTGGTTTTTTGTTCGGAGCTACGTCCGATGAGTGCTTGCCGTTTGGGTTGGCGGTGGGGCTCAAGCGTCGAACTGTATTCTGACTGTTTGGTGATGGTGACGACTCTCGCGCTGGTGTCGCTGGCGAGGGAGCGTTCGAAATGGCACGCCGCCGAGGCCGAGCTTAAGTAACCTAACGTGGGTATTGGAATGGTGGCGATGATGATTGTGGTCTGATGCGCTCCACGAGGAACTGATGGTCCATGCACTCGGCAGGTCTGTGTAAGCAGCTTAATTTAAGATGGCGCTGTTGAGTACAGTGCCCCCCAGTTACTGGAAGGACCACCGCAATCTGGCAATTGCAGAGAGGACTAACACATTCTGGCCCATCTAAAAAAAGGCTAAGTCCAAGCTGGATCCCAACTGCCCATCGTTGCCTCCATCCGGAAATGACCCCCCGTACGGGCCACATCCCTCTGTAGTCTGGTCTGTAGAACGCGCAGGTCATCAGAGCTCTTCCTTCGCGTACCTGCTCCAGCTCTTCTTACATTCACAAATTTTCTTGCCGTCCTTGTCCAAACGCATGTTCAGAACCGGCGCCCCCTCCTCATCGCAGAAGTGTTTGAAACCATTTGCGTTCCAGCACGGGTTCTCGCTGCAAATGCACTTGTTTGTCTTGTTGTTGTAATCGAGAATGGGGAACTTACCATCGTCGCACCTGTGCCCAGGGCACAAGTCCATCGCTATGTGCTTCGTGGTCGTGTCGGCCCACGCGGAGCAGCCACACTTGAGCTTCTTATTCTCGTCGTAGCTGAAAGTCAAATGTGGGTGAGTCGGGGCGTCGCACCAGTGCTTCTGTCCCGCGTCGTGCCAGCACGGGTGACGGATGCAGATGCATTTCTGCCCCTCGGGGTCCCAATCGAGGATCGGGTGCGTCATCTGGTCGCACCGCTCGCCTGAGGAGAAGCAGGATGAGCACAATGATCTTCTCATCCTCCTGCTCGTTTTCCTCCCCCAGACCTGCGACGCCGTATTTCTTACACCACATAGGCCCCTGGGAACTCTCGGCTGCAGCCCTGGGCCTGTTTTCGTCGTTGCGTTTTTATGGCTGGTTGTTTGCTGAATTGTCGTAGGGACCGGAAACAAACCCTGAACGCAGAAATTACGAAACAACTGCAGTCGCAAATTATGGTGACTCGACTTCTGATTCCTGCTCCCCCAACCTCCCCCCGGACACGAGATCGCCAGAAGGCTTGGGTCCTCGATGAGACGAAGAACAACAAACATGAACATAACCTTTTTGAGGTCCGCGCGGATCCCTTAGGGCGGGGTTGGACCCTTCCCCTGGCGCTGAAGGCGCGCCAGGGGCGGCGCCTGAAGCGTCGCCAGGGAATGTTCGGCGGAGGTCAACGACATCCGCGCAGACCTCCGACGGTTCCCTGAGCAACTAATGCTGTGAAGGGCACGGTTTGCTTTAAACATGTGACTCTCGGCTCCGGGATGCGAGAATATGCCAACCGTGCCGTGCCGTGCCCGAGTGCCGCACCGGGCTCCGTTTCTACAGTGCCAAAAACTGTGCCGCCCCCGTGCCGTCCCGTGCCGTGCCCGCGTGCCGTGTTCCGCTTTTCGAAAAACATGAGAAACGTGCCGCCCGCGTGCGGTGCTGTGCCCGTGAACCGTGCTCGGCTTCCACAGTGCGAAACAAATGTCGTGCCGTACTCGTACTCGCGTGCCCACTTGTACTATGCCGTTCCGTCCTTGGTTCCCGTGCTGTGCCGTGCCTGCGTGCCGTGACGTGCCGTGCTTGGTTCTGTTGAGCGCGCAAAAAAAAACTGTGGCGTGACGTGCGCGTGGACTGAACCGCGCCGCGTCGTGCCTTGCTGCGCGTTGGTGTAGAATGCGCGAAACTACTGTTATGTTACGTGCGAACTGGGATGCCGCGCCGTGTCGTGACCTGCCGCGCCCGCGTGCTGCGCCCGCGTGCCGTGCAGTGCCCGCGTTCTACGAGCTTGGGACACATTCTTCTAACGCCACACCGAAACAGGAACAACAACCGAACGGCAAAGGCGGATGTTGCGCCCCGACCGTGCTGTTGCGCACCAGCCACCCCTCCCCCGCAGAATCATGACATTGGCCGGCAAGTCCAAGGCTCCATGGATCCAGTTATTTGTGGGTCTTAAGTGAAGAATTTGATCCCCAAACAGCGCTTGCACTGAATTCGGGTTTCTTACTTGCTTTCTAACTCACCTGAGCTCCAGTGCCGCCACGGCCGCCTCGTCGCCACCCGTCGCCGCCGCCGTCACCGCTGGCAACTGAGCCCCAGTGCAATCCCAGCGGGTTCGTCGCCGCCCGTCGCCGCCGTCGCCGCAGGTCGCATGTCTTTGCGTTGCTTTGCATAGTTTTTCTTTTTTTCTTAATATATGTACGTATGTATGCATATATATATATATATATATATATATATATATATATATATATATACAAAAAAAATGGCCTTGGGGTCTCTCGAGTGCCATCGAAGGCTGAGGGCCACGGACGGCGCGGACGATAGTGCACCACGCTCCCGTGGCACGCCGCAAATGCAGACCGCGGAGGAAGTCCTGCAAACAAGACCGACACAAACAGTGCCAGCACCGCTCATCCAGGCACGAACCAACCAGGCCCTTGCCTGACAGGCCCCCACGCACTGGCAACAGCTTGATACCTCCTCGTGAACACGCGAAGACGAGCTTCAAAGATGTCTTCGGCTTGGTTCGACAGGCGAATACGAATAACATTATGCGTATAAACGAACGCATCGCACATGCAGGCGCACAGCAGCGAAATCTCATCAGGGAGAGGGCAGAGGAGGATAATGGTTGCAACCCAAGGAATCATAACAGGAGCAATCGGAAATCGTGAGCCCATCCATCTGACACATACTTTGCGAAAGCGAGGGCAGAATTTGTAGTGGCGCATGTCGTCATAGTCTCTGGACGTGTCGAACCCATACTCATGACCCGAACGCCCGAATATACAACCACGAGGGGGGGGAGAGTGAAAGCGAGCGCTGGCACAGACACATCTGGTAGACATCCGAAGAACACTCATAACCAAGTGCGGAGAAGCGGAAGACGAAATACGGCGATTTTGCGAGATCAGAGGAGAGAGATCCAGCTCTTGGAATTCGGGAAGCCAATTACGGATACGAAGGAGAAGACCACCACGCGCAGACAGACCAGGGAGAGGAAGCGAATGAAGGCGAGCATATACTTTACGTTGGAGAATATCAGGCTTGATAATACTCATATCAATAATCCCATGCGCGATCTGGGCAGTCTTGAATAAGTCTGGCAGAAACGAACGTTGATGCCATGCCCTCGGGTCTACGACTCGAGCATAGCAAACAACATCGCTGTCAAGCACGCGCTTGAGATCGGCCCAGCAGCCCCCAACGCCAGGACATGTGGTAGCAAAGCGGGTGCGACAAGCATTCGAGAAGGCGGGAATATCTGGAGACGCAAGCGGGAATCCAAGCTGCACCAACGACACAAGCATGTTATACGCGAGCGCGTGATCTGGACCACAAGTAGGACGCTGTAACATATGCTCATACGTTTTGGTGACAAGATCGGTAATCGCTTCAACTTCCATGACAAACTGCAGGACGCTGGCACGCATTACTTTAAACGTTAAAAATAGTCATGGCACGTCCAGGCGATAAGGCGCGGAGTTGCGCACAGCGGGCCGCGAACTTCCCCGGCGGTCTAATCCGCGCTTCGCCGGCAGCAGTCGGGCCAATAAAACGGCCAAGGTGCGTCAGATCCGTGTGAATATAAGTTCAGCCCCCCTTCCAGCCTCCTGAAACTTCTGTCTAACGCGCCCCTTCCCCTTCCTCCCGCGCGAGAGAGGCCGGCGCTTGCGATAATTCAAGGCCAAGCCAATTGCGCAATCTAGGCGCAGGAGGAGTTGCCAGACCGGAGGGGGCGAGTAAAAGAGATCGGTCATCCCGAACAGGCGCTCCTCCGCACGCGCGAGAGCAAGAGACAGCTGACGCGGCACCCTGCGCTGCATCCAGCGCAGAACAGTGTCTGAACATATGCGCAATAGAAAAATCGAGCTCGGGTCTCCCTGCCGCACTCCTCGTCGGATAGCAAACCTATCAAACCTCCTCCCTCCCCAGGTCATTGCGCCATAGTTATCGAAGTAAAGCACGCGGTAGAAGCACTGAATAAGGAAGGAACACGCATGGCAGAGGGCGCGGCGCGCAGCCAGACATGAAGAATCGACGGGAAAGCAGCAGCCAAATCCGCAGAGGGGATGGCGGCAGAGCCGAGCCCGAGGAGGTCCCGCATAAGCCCCCACCCTTCAGTCTGAACAACATTCGTGAGCATTTGCCTCCCTTTACCACACGTCTGAAGCGGCGCAGCAGTGGTGCTAGACATCTGATTCAGCGGCATGCAGCGCGCGCTAGAGAGCAGTTTGGCATCAGCGTCGGCCATCGACAGTGGCCTCGTGCATGCACAATCTCTAACGGCGTTCCCACCCCCATCCCCGGGCCCTTCCCCTCCCGGTAAAAACACCAGTAACATCTCCCTCGTCTCAGCCGGCGGCCCCACCACCACCCCGCGCACAATCTCCATATGAAAACTTGTAAAGATATCGAGGCGCATTCCTGGCACGTTAGCAATAATAAATCATGCCATCAGGACCAGGCGTAGAGTTACGACGCGACCGAATCAACTGGTAAAAACTCGCATCGGGTACTTCCCAAGAGATATCGTCACCGCCAGGCTGGCCATTCGCATCCTGAGCCCGAGCGGAACCATTAGGGCCACTCCAGGGGACAACCTGAACATGAGTCAGAATTTCACGCGTGTTCACGATCAGCAGGGATCACATCAAAAACCTTCCCCAAATACTGAGATAGGCAAGCAGCAGATGCCGCTAACGAAGCACACGGACGCCCCTTCCATCAAGCACAGCGGACATATATGCACGACGTTTAAGCTTTCGCCAGAGTTCTTGCTTGCGCCGTAGATTCCTAGGAGCATTAGCTTTCGCCCCCCTCCTGAATGTTTTTATCATTGGGCACCTCCTCCTCCTCAGTGAGCACGGCAACATGCAGATCTTGCGTGCGCCTGCAGAGGCCGTCGACATCGGCGCGCTGCGCGCGGTCGATATCACAGAAGTGCTGCAGCACAAGGTGAGAAGACAGCGCCCCACAGCGCAGATGGTCTCGTTGAGCACGCGCGCCGCGGAGAGCGACCATGCACCAGTGATGCTGCTCAGCTTTCCGCGACGCAATCTGCCATGATAGCTGTCGGCGAACAACGGGCACAATCTCATGCATGATGCTCTTGGTCACTGCGAACGCAGAAGCTGCACCAAGCATGTTGAGCTCATCCTCGCGATCCTCCTGGGTTTGTTTCGAGCGTTTTTTGGCGCGCTTTCATTCTTACTAAGCCAGTCGGGGATCACTGGGGGTCGCTAGGCGACGGGCGGCACGGCGCAATCTGCGCCAGAACAGGAATCTGATCAGAGGTGCGCGAGACACAGAGCTTGCCAATGACAAATGACTGGAACGTGACATCAGCTATGACCGCGGCAGGCAGAGACGAGTAGATGCGATCATGCCTAGACGAGTGGGCAATATTGCCACCCCGCAGCTCTCGTCGGGTGTCTTCGGCTTGAGAAAATTCAATCCAATGGCCACACTCGCGATCGAAAACTCATTGAAACCGGGAATCGCCATTAGACCGCCCACTCCCATCCGGAAACATGCGGCCCTCATCTTCGACAGTTAAATTCCAATCCCCAAGGATAACCGAGAAGCATTGAGCTGCACAGATACGCGGCGCTTCGCAGGTGAGCCATGCGCGCGCCCATGATAGCTAGGATCCCCCGATCCCCCACGAATGCACTCAATGACGCGCGGCCTTCCTGGAGAACATGATGTGACATATGTTTGAATTGCCGAGCGAGCCCAGGGGGGGCGCAAGTGGCGACGCCGCCAGCTCGCGCCGTATCGGGGGACATTGCACCGCCAACACCCGAGTCTCTCAATTCATTCCGTAGATGAATGTCTGCCAACTTACCATGAGTTTCCTGAGCGCATGCAATCTGATACTCTCGACAAAAACGTGCAAAGTTGCGATGTCTACTGGCAGCGTTCTTCTGCCGCCGAGTTTTCGCAGAGGCAAACAGACCGCGCGCATTCCACGGAACAGCACTGAGAGGGGGGGGGGCGGGGGAAGCGGCTGCCGCCGCACCGCAGTGCAAGGCGGCCGCGTAGGCGACGGCCCCGCGACCGTAGGCGGAGCGACGAAGCACACAGTCAGAGACCCCGCCCGCGCAACAGGGCAAGTAGACAATTCAGGGTCAGACGAGGGCGAAGAAGAGATGAACATCGAACTCGACGAGGTAGAGGAAGATGATGGGATACTGCTAGTAGAAGCAACAGAAGAGTCTGAATTACGCCGAAACCGACGCCGTTGCGTGAGACCCCTATCATCACGCACAGGAGCAAGTCCGTTGGACACGCTCTCGCAGGGAACAGACTCCGAGCAGGCAGCTGTCGCCGCAGCTGGTTGGAGAGCAGATCAGTCATGATGGTGGCAGTTCGCAATCCAAGACCCCATGGCCTCAGCCGAGATCCCCCAGCACTGTGGATCGGGAAGATGCGGGCGCAGCTGCGTGCGACCAAGCCCGCCCAGCTCCCCTTTCGCCAGCGCGAAGTGGTCAGTCTCCGTCCTCGCGAAGATTTCGTTCCGAAACCCATTCGCGCCATTCTTCATCGTGTCTTCGTAGCGGTTGGTGTCTTCGAGATGCTGAACCACAGGTGTCTAGAGCTTCGCCATGAAACGTTGGCGAGCACGGGCATCATCAGGAAGGTCAGCTCGAATCCTCAGGCGGTGATTCTTCTGGTCACAAGGGTCTTGCCATTCAACCTCTTGCGCAATGAACCAGTCATTGAACTCTGTGGCGCTCTCGGACGAGGAGAAGTGGATGAAGAAGCTCCGGCTGGTGTTCGCAAGCTCCGTTGTGGTGCCACTGAGAAGATGCTGCGGACATGCAGCTTCGAGTAGTGACCATGCGGAGCGACGCATGATCTCAAGGACCGCGCGTGGGCATCCTGATGCCCAGAGTCTCCCCGGCTCAAATTGTTGATGCTCGAGCGAGCCAGTGGTGCCAGCCACGCGTGGACGTTTTGGGCCAGCATGCGTTGACGCCATCGATGATGGTGGGGCCTTTCTTAAAGACTCGATGTTACGTTCTGACTTCTGCTGCTTCACTTGAAGTTCTTCCACTTTGATCTCGAGCGCCGCCATTCGCCCGTCGACATGTGTCACTTGGCCAGTCTATATGTTATTAGAATCGTCCACGTTCGATGTCAGCGTTGAAAAATTGTCCAAGCACAAAAACCGCGAACCAGGCAGGGGCAGCATCCGCATTCATGACTGCACGCGGGACTGCTCGGAGCACAAAGATGGGAGCGTAGCCGAAATCGAGGGGCCTTATCACCAGAAACCCTCGATCCTCCCTGTCGGCTGCGCCAAAGGATCAAACCCCAAGGCAAAGGTTTGAGCCTTGAGCCAAAAATGCTACGGATTTGCATTGCTTTGCATAGCTGCGCATTGCTTTGTATCTCTGCGCGTCGCTTTGCATTGCATTAGGTCGCATTCGATTGCTTTATATTGTTGTGCAGTGCTTTGCATCGCTGTTTCATCGGTTGGCGCCAGCTTGCAATAGTTTGCACTGCGTTGCCTTGCGCTACAGCGCATTGCCTCGCATCGTTTCGTCTAGTTTTGCATTGCGTTGCACAGGTTTGCATTGCATTGCGCTGCTTTCACCATAATTTCTGCACCACGTAGATTGCACCACCTGAATTGCGCCACATTGATTGCACCACCTAGATGGCACAACATACATTGCACGAAATCACTGTTTGGGGTCCACGCCGGCTAATTTTATACATGTGTTCCACTGCAAGCACGGTGTTCAGGAAGCTTAAATCCAGACGGCTGACGAATTGGATCCACATGAGTCTCGCATCCAATTGATGGGATCGGATTGGACCCATGCGTTTTCACGCAAGGAGACAACACTTCCAGCCTGGGGATGTATGTGGTGCAAGCTATGTGGTGTAAGCTATGTGGTGCACACTTGTCCCTAATCATGGTGCCTCGGATTCTTATTTTGCCCGTTGCCCAGAGGTACCCCAGATTCCTCGGGTTCCCCGCCCTCGGTGCCTCCTATCGTTACTTTGCCCGTTGCTCGGAGGTTCCCCGGGTTCCTCGGGTTCCCCGGGTTCCTCGGGCTCCCCGCCCCTGGTGCCTTATACTGTTACTTTGCAATTTTTCCGGAGGTTCCTCGGGTTCCCCGGGTTCCTCGTGTCCCCTGCCCCCGGTGCCTTCTATTGTTACGCTGCCCGTTCCTCGGAGGTACCTCTGGTTCCCCGGGTTCCTCGGGTTCCCCGCCCTGGTTGATGGTCTTGTTTCCCAGCAGCGCCAAGCAACGCCAAGCAATGCCAAGTCGTGCAAAGCAACGCCAAGCAATGCCAAGCAACGCCAAGCAACGCCAAGCAACGCCAAGCAATGCCAAGCAAGGTCAAGCAAGGCAACGCAACGCTGAGCAATGCCACGCAACGCTGAGTAATGCCAAGCAATGCCAAGCAACGCCAAGCAGTGCCAAGCCGTGCGAAGCAACGCCAAGCAATGCCAAGCAACGCCAAGCAACGCTAAGCAATGCCAAGCATCGGTAAGCAATAAAAAGTAACGCTGAGTAATGCCACGCAGCGCTGAGTAATGCCAAGCAATGCCAAGCAATGCCAAGCAATTCCAAGCAACGCCAAGCAATGCCAAGCAATGCAAAACAACGCTGGGAAATGCCACGCAGCGTTGAATAATGCCGAGCAATGCCAAGCAATGCCAAGCAACGCCAGGCAATGCCAAGTCGTGCAAAGCAACGCTGAGCAATGTCAAGCAACGGCAGCGCCAAGCAATGCCAAGCAACGCCAAGCAATGCAAAACAACGCTGAGAAATGCCACGCAACACTGAGTAACGCCAAGCAACGCCAAGAAACGCCAAGACATGCCAAGCCGTGCAAAGCAATACCAAGCAATGCACAACAAGCATGCAAAGCAATGCCAAGCAATGCAATACAATACAAAGCAAAACAATGCAATGCCAAACAATTCAAAGCAACGCCGCTTAGGAACCGTTCTCCTAATTGGGGTCGCGCTTGGTTCATGTGTTGCAAACACGAATCGCCTTGCCCTTGCGAGCGACTGGCTGCAAGCCCGCGCTGGCCCGTGGACATGCGTTAGGAGGAAGCTCTGCCGAGCCTGCAGAATGCGAAATTGTGCCACCCGCGTGCTGTGCCCGCGTGCCGTGCCGGCGTGCCGTGCCGTGCCCGCGTGCCCTGCCCGTACCGTCCCTAGTTGCCAGAAACCAGAATTATGTGCCGCCCGCGTGCCGTGGCGTGGCCGCGCGCCGTGCCGCACACGCGCATCATGAGGTTAAGTCGCCCATGTCTAGGGCCTCAATGTGGTTGCTTGTGACTCGAACCTCGATGGGAAGAGCAAGAACTACACGAACATGAACTTTCGGAGGTCGGCGCGGATCTCTTACATCGGCGCTGGGGCGCGCCAGGGGCGGCGGCGCCGGAGGCGCCGTCAGGGGAGGCGCCGGAGGCGCCGCGAATCCAAGAAATCCGCGTGGGCCTCTGAAACTTCAGGTTTGTGTAGTTGCTCGTGTTTCGGCATTTCCTCCGTGCGGTGTAGTATATGTCTCTGTGCCAAGTCTCGGATCCAGTGTGATCTGCGGATGCAATAGAATCCTACGAAAATAAACCTAGGGGCACAGGCTGTGCCGACTCTTGAGCTTCGCCAAGTGCCCCAGGGCTCTGCGGCCCCATCCGGAGATGAGGAGATATCTTGGGGCACCCGTTGGCAGGCAAATTTCCTATTTGGTGTCCCTACCGGAATTGCGTTTTCTGTGATTCAACCGATCTTTCTTTTCTTCGGCATGCTGTAGGGGCGCCACTCCACCCGCAGCGTCAGTGCGCCCGCCGGCGCGCCCGCGTGCAGGCGATCAAGCAACAAGCCTGAGCGACGGATTGAAACGGGTCTTACGCAAGATGACGTAGCGACTTTACGCGGTGCTTTAATCACGCGGGTCGCCAGCGTGGCACGTTGCACTGGAGACGAAGGCGCTTACTCACGGCCTTACGCGAACTTGCGCGCGAATGTCCACGCAGTCCACCCCGTTTCTGTTGTGATCATCTGTCTCCTCAGACCACCCGAGGAGGGAAGAACATATCATGCAAGGATGGCCGAGAGAGACGTCGAGCACACAAGGACAGGGACGGGGTGGGAGAAGTCGGGGGAACATCGAACGAACCTCCTCCTCCTCCTCCTCGTCCTCTTGCTCCTATTTCGCCTCCTCCTCCGTGGCAGCGAGGCCCCCCCTGGAGGCTCGAACAAGGCGACGTCGTCGTGATCAATTTCGTCGTCGCCGCTCGATGCCGTCGTCGTCACCGTCGCTCCTCATCGCCGTCATCATCGCCGTCGCGCGTCGCCGTCGCCCTTGTTGTCGACGTTGGTCCTCGCTCCTCCTCGCTCCTCCTCGCTCCTCCTCGCTCCTCCTCCTCCTCCTCCTCCTCCTCCTCCTCCTCCTCCTCCATCTTCTCATCCTGCCATCGCCTCTGCACATCTCCGCGATGTACTCTGGGCTGGCCTGTACTCCGAGCATCAGGGCTGGGAGTGCGAGCGCCGCGCGGGCGCAGCGGGCCGGCGCCATCGCCCCCTACCAATGACTGGCCGCCTGTCGCGAGAGGCCCCCGGAAGACGACCCCCCCGTCCCAACCCAGCGACGGCCGTGTTGTCAGCACGTTGCGATCCTACCCTGAGATCTGAGCGTCCTCAGACATCCGACGCCGCGTTTCTGTTCGCAGCGTGGTTCCCCAGAGGTCTGGACCCCTCCCCCGGGGCCGGCTTTTCATCCTGAATCGACACTTGATGGTCTTTGAGCCCGGCGAGAGCCCCCAAAGGCCAAAGCCGAAACGAAAGGATATCAGGGTGAGGCCGCCGTGCAGGACCGCCCACAGAATCGCCAGAGTGGAAAGCTGGCAGCGGGGAAGAAGTCGGCTCGGAGCTCGGAAGCGTCACGGAGGCGGCTCGGAGTTCGGAAGCGTCGAGCAGGGGAGTTAGCAAATCATGGCTCGAGGCACGTGCGCGGCCAACGGGGGGGGGGGGCAAGGAACGTCTTGGCCATGGGACTGGAGCGTCGCATTTTTGGTGCAACGGGCGATTTAACCTTGTTTCGAGTACTGGGACCGTCACGGATCGATCCGGCTCGAAAAATGTAGCAGAAAGATGGGCCCCAGGGGTCCAGTCGTGATCTTAGCTCGATGTCGCAACTTGTGGTCGGATCTCAAGGAATCTGAAAAGAAGTGGCTACGACATCATGGCCCCGGCCATGATAAGCCCCCCCCCTGTCATCGCACCCCCTCTTTTCCTAGGCCGCCCCCGACGCTCTAGCGGCCAGCGGCTCGAAGCGGTCGGGCCGTCGGAGGTCCGTGAACGGCTCCTAGGGGACACTCCTGGGAAAGCCCGGTCCCTTGCCCCCGATGCAGGCCCCCGATGCCGGCCCTCTCCGCCTGCTCCCGCGCGGGGGTCGAAGGGTAAAGAGGTGAGGGGAGAAAACGAAGGCAGCGGACGGGGAGGGGGGGGGAGTTGGGAGGGGTGAGGAGGAGGGAGGGGAGGGTGAGGAAGAAAAGAGAAGGAGCGCCAGTACCCCCTGAGTCCACGGGTCTCTGGGCACTCAACGCCTCGCGGATTTCAGCCAGGGGTAAGGCATAGCCGAACCAAGCGGAGGCGGAAGAATCGAGTAGTTGTTTGCCATTGTGGCTAATGCAGCGTTGAGGGCATCTAGCTGTTGGGGCAGTTTTAAGGGGCGCCCGTCTTGTGCGAAAACATTTCCATAGCAACGTGGTGAAGGCAAATTATAGAAACTGAGAGATGTTGCTAAAATGGCATCTTCCCAAGTGAAATCAAACGCGGGATACTGCAGAGGGGGCGCAAGCCCTAGACGGAGGAGGGGACACGGCGAGACGACAGGTCGAGGACGACCAAAGAGGTAAGTCAGGCGGGGACACTTTAAATAGTGTGCTATGCAATCGGGGCGAGGGCACCCGAAAATGCAGCTCCACAACGTGTCCGTGACGTGCATGCAGCTCGTGGTTGCCTCCCCCCACCCACACACACACACACTCGTCTTGATGTACGGCCAGCGCACCATGGGCGGCGCCCGGCTCAAAATGTCCCGCGCCAAGTCCCACCGCTCCCTGAACCGAATGGGTGTCGGACAAGAGAACCACGTGTGCAGGCGCCGGCCAATTAGCAATTGCACCTGGTCAGGATGGGCAAGGCCTGCAAGGGAGCGGTGAAACACTCCCTGCATCTGCGGGCGTCGAATGGGTCCGAGTGCAGCGCGCACGGCGCCGCGTGCCCGATGTTGGGCAATACGGAGCTGCGAGGAGGCTTTGACACCAGCGCGGCGGAAACAAACTCGCGATAAAATTTGCACAATGGCCACCACGTGCCACTGTAGAAGACGACGATGCTCAGCGATTCCTGCAACGCGGCCTGTAAGCGCCGGTAGAACGATCCCCAAATCGTGTCTAGCGTCAGGGACGCGCATCTCCATGCGCACGCCATGGCATTCGTGAGAAGAGAGGTTGGGGGGATGTCCAATTAATTAGCCAGGGAGAGGAGCTCGCAGTGAGAAAACGAATTCGGGGGGAGGTTGGGGGCTTTGTGGAGACCCCAGAGCCCACGACCGCCCAGAGCCTTATCGAGCGCCACATGACGTGCAAGTGAGCACCGCAGAACTGTACAATCGCGAGGCTACGCTGGCACACGACTGCAACTCACCAGGCTCCATGCATCTGGCGTTCCACTGAAGGGCGGGGGCCCGCCACTCATCAGCAAAAGTGGCCGCAAGGCCAGGCCACGTCCCGAAATACTGAGCCTTCCCACTGATTTTAAAAAAATATCCCAGTTGGGAGCCCACAGTCGCAACTCCGCCTGGAGCTGCAGAACGAGGTCGGGGGTGAGGGCGGTTCAGAGGGGGACGAACGCGCATTTTGTCCGCTGTAAGCGGAGGCGTGCCACCTGCTTCAACAACGGAAAATGTGGTTCCAACTCGCGCGCGCGCGTGTTGGCGGAGAGCCTTGCCGATTCCATCCACGCGTGCCCCGAACGTCTCGGAACCCTTCGGAAACGAATCCGAAGCCGCCTCCGCAGGAAATTCGTTGATGTCTCGTCTGTTCTTCGCGATGCGGCCGCGAGGACGGGAGGCTGCAGCGGGCCAGAAATGCGGGCAGTTGTTCGCCCTGCACCCTGGTATGGGGGAAGGGGGGTGGAGAAAAAGGAAGGGGAGGAGAAGGACGACGACGACGACGAGAAGGTGCGAAACAAAAAGCGAAGAAACGGGTCAAGCCAAACAGCCCAGAGAGCTTCGCTCAATGGGCATCCTTGAACGACCCCAGACAATTTGGGGAGCGCGACTTCGCGACGGCCGCAAATCTGGACAAAACCGGTCATATGCGAGCAGAGGCCGTTGATGGCCATGCGATAGCCGAGAGGAAAACTGAAACGTTCGAGGTCCTTTCCTTTTCAGATGTCCCACCGAGGCTCGGAAAAGCCGAAGCAAAGTCAAAGCTACGGAAACATGGGTGTTGCGTAAGTGCGGAGGGGTCGAGCAATGCGGCGCGACCCTCAGAATCCATCTGCACGATGCGTTTCGCGAAGCTGCTGCCTGCCACGAACTCCTGTTGCGATGTGTCCGTGCGTTGTTCGGCGACGGCCTTCATATTCCACTTGATGGACGTCGCGATGGCCGTCGCATCTTGATCAAGGGGCGGACCTGGCTGGGCTGGCGGACGCAATCGACGAGGTCGCTGCGCCAGGCTTCAGCGGGACCTTCTGGCAAAAATGCGAAATCGACGAAATTCAACCAGTGCGCCACCGCAGTGCCGTCGAAGAACTTCACTAGCATAGGGTAGACGGCCTCCGTCGCGCGTGGACACGCCAACCATGCCTCCACTGGCAAACTGTCGGGTCCCAGAGCCTCGCTGCGCGCCCGCTTCAGGGCGGCAACCAGCTGCGCCTGAAATGGGATGTGCAAGTCCATATTGGACATCGCAGGCATCGCAGCGCCCTGAATATTGTGGACGTCGGCGTCGCAAATGTTCTCGCTGAGGAAGACGCTGGACAAGCGCTGCGCCGATGCGTCGGCAATCTCGCCGGGTTGCGGGGCGACGCGCCCGGCCCGTCAAGCGCGAGCCGCTTCCGGAACGGCGCCCAGAGCGAAGCGCGGCGGCGGTTGGCAGCCGCGCGGCGCTGGAGCTGCCCCTCGACCCCCGGGCGGCTGCTATTCCGCGCGCGCCACGCAGCAGCGTGGTCCTGCTTCTCGCGCGACTTCGCACTTGTTACCAGAATGACCTCCTCAAACGCAGCAAGGTCTTTGAGAGAGAAGCTGCCGGAGGAACTGCGACCCCAGCGACATGTCGCTAGACAGGCGTCGCCGCTAGACAGGCGTCGCGCCAGCCAGACATCTTGTCGACCGATGGCGCGGGCGGTGCTGCGGGGAGTCTGTCGGCGCGCCTCGAGCGCGGCAAGATCTCCGCGCTCGGCGCCGCGGCATGAGCGCGCCCCGCGCGATCGCGGCGGCCTCCGTCATCGTCCTCTTCGCCCCCATGGGGCGCATCTCCGGCGGCGAGGTGGCCGCGTCGAGCGCGAGGTGACCGCGTCGAGCGCCGTTAACAAAGTGCCCAAAGTCTTCGCGAAGAGCGGCGCCTTGACAATGCGCGGCGGCGCGCTCTGATCATCGGCTGGAACTCGCTGCTTGAGGCGAGGGCGCAGTGCTACAGCAGCGCGGTCAGGGGCGCCACTCGCGGCAAGCCGCCTCGCGGTGGACCCCGAAGTCGCGCGCGATCTGTTCCAGAAGCTGCGGCGGCAAACGAATTCAAGCTCGATCAATGCAAGCTGCCTCTTCTGTCGCCTTGGCGTAGCTCGTGGGGATCTCGCTGGCGACCTCGACCATCTCTCGTCATCGAACATGTCCGTCCATTGTCGTGACGCCCGGCTGGCCGGCGGACTAGTCCAGGTTCAGGGTGGGTGCGCGAGGCCGCCTGCGTCGCGCCCATCTTGAGATCGCCGATCGCGATGGAGGTGCGGTCCTCGACGCCCTCGGCGGCCCAGCGCGCGGCAGCGTGCCGCGCGGCCGCGGTGGCGGCCAATTGCGAGGACGTGAAATCAAACTTGTAGACGTTCATAACGCGCTTGCTGGCGTTGGACATGGGGCCATCGACGCGGGCAACCTGCTGGCGCCTAGGCGCGACGAGGCCCTGCCGCTGAAAGGGGCGGCCCCCCGCTCGCAGCGCAAAGATCGCGACGGCCGCCGAGTGCGGAATGAGGACTGCCACTCCTCCAAAACCAGAAGGCGAACCACCCTCGCGCACCGGGGCTGCGGAATAATGAAAGTCGTAGCCCGACGTGATATGCTCAAGGGATTCGATCAAAAGTTGACCCTTGAACTTCCTGGGGAACAATCGCAACGCGCTGGCGGAGAAAGGGGCCAATCTGACGGTTTCTGCCGCCGCCGCTTCTTGCGCGAACACAAAGGGGAATCGGCGCCCCGCGCGACGACCTCCAGGCCGCCAATAGCAAGCGCCGGCGTCGCGCCAGCTGACCAAGGCCACCATCTCACATCAGGGCCGCCACCCAGAAGCGTCTGTCGACGAGGTGGCGAACATGGCGGCGACCTGCGCGCGGTGCTAAATGCAATCCAGGATGCACAATTCGATGGTGCGCGGGTTCCAGATGATGGCGGTCGGCTCGTCCATCGCTCCAACCTGGAGCTCGCAGATTGGTGCGAAGTTGGCGCTGATGGCGCTCTTCGCCCGGCTGACCTTCCAGCGGAGGTCACGGCGATCGGCTTGGAGGAGGGCGTGCAATTTCTCGGGCTGCACCTCGCGCCAGACGTCTTCCGGGCTCGTCCCCGCTGACGCAGGGCGGTCGCGGTTAGTCTGCGCCGTCGCGGACCGCGATGCTGCGCCAACGGCCGCTGACCTTAAGACCCCGAGTGAGAGCCGGGGCGCGGGCGGTGGCCCCCGCGCCTCCTTCGAGCTGAATATTGAAGAATTTGTCGGGGGCGCCCGAGCCGACAGCTCGCGCGCAGTCGATGGGCACTCCGGCGTCCGCGAAACACTGGGCGACAGCAGTCCAGAGGGAGTCGGCGGCGACAATGCCAGGGCCGCCGCGGTCTCGGGCGGGTTGCCCCATTCCGCCAGCTGCCGCATTGCGACGGCGGGCAGTCTGGCCGCCGCGATCGCGAGGGCGCCCTCTGATATCTTGACGGAACCCTTGAGGAGAAGCCGCTCGCGATCCAACTTGCGAGTGGATTCGCGGCGGATGAGGAACTCGCGTTCGAGTTCGACGCGGCTCCGGCGCAGGAGGCGGAGGAAGAGGAGGAGCAAACAGAAGGTGGAGGAGGAGGAGGGGGAGGAGGAGGAGGCGGGGGAGGAAGGGGTGGAAGCGGAGGAGTTCGGGCACCCAGGGGGGGGGGGGGGGGGCGCGAGTCTTCAGTTGCGCCAAACGAGGGCGCGGGCGGCTGCGCTCGGCCAAGCAGCCCTCTCGGGCGTCGGCGCCGACTGTAGCTTCGTTCTGTCTAACGCGCGGAAGGCGAACGCCATGCGCTGGCGCGCGCGATGCAGCGAGGTAGCGCCGTCGCGGTCAGCGGCGCAGGCTGCCTCTGGCCCCAGGCCCCGCGCAGCGATTGTTGGGCGAAGGAGGGCGGGCTGGGGGGCCAGGGGGGGCCCAAGTGGCGAGGACTGGAGAGGTAGCGGGGAGGCGCGTTCTCGTCCTGGGGGCAGCCGAAGACGCGCGCCCTCGGCGCCAGCGCGTGCACTCTGGCGGTGGCGGTCCACCCTCCACTGAGGGCTCTGACGACGGTCCGGCGCCGGCTTGGGCGGGGCCCTTGGAGAATCCCGGACAAGGAATCCCACCGCGCGGAGAGCTTCTCAGGAGGCGGCAGCTGCAGGCCCCAGGACTCATGGCCCTTAGCGAGCGTAGCGGTGAATGGCAAAGAAGAGCATGCCTTACGAAGCGAGCTGGCGATCGCTCGCAGGACGCGGGCACGGCGCCGCGGGTCAGCGGCTGCTGCTGCCGCGACCTTGGCGCGGCCCGTGTCGAAGGCGTCGCGGATCGAGGGGCCGTGGGGATGCTGCGCCGCTGTCCAGAGCAGAGGCTGGAATAATACTGCGCAACAGAGAAGGGCCGAGCCCAGAACGGCGGCGACCAGTGTCCGCTGTTCCAGCGATGGCAGGTATGGACAGCGCTATCACCCCAAGCAGCGTCGCGGCGCAGGCGGGCAAATAAATCCCCCCATTCGCCGCGTAGTGCGACAGAGGCGGAACGCATGGCGGCGGCGAGGGTGACGGCCTGCATCGCGGCTGGGGCAGGGGCTGGGGCCCAGTCGGCCATCGCGATCATATCAACTCTGCGAACAGTGCTGGGAGGCATGGGCAACATGTTGCGAAACATGTAGAGCTCGCGGCGAACTATGGACTCCTCGATAGAAAAGGACCGCGCAACGTAGCCAAGCGCGGAAAGGACCGATGCGTTGCATGAACGAGAGGCGGCATCTCTGCCATATGGGCGAGCTACAAAGGATGGGTGGACGAGCTACAGGGGATTACCCCGCTACCATCATCTTTGCCCTGAGGCGTGCCACTCGCCCGAAGGGGGCGCCGAAGGGCCCGGGGGGGCCGCGGGCTCTCGGCTCGCACCGCGATCGAAAACTCGCACCAAGCAGAAGCAAACTCGGGCAGCAGGGGGAGGGTCTGGGCAACGGTGGCAGGGCTGGCGGCGCCCCAGTGCGCGGCGATCACGCGCCTGCGGGGTTTGAGATAAAAGGAAGGCGAGCTCCTCTACAGCGGCGAAGGGCTCAGCAACGCGGCCCACCAGCTCGAACTTGCTGCGCGGGGGCCCCAGGTCGTCGGCGCAAGCGCCGACGCAGCCGAGGTGCGGGTCGGGCGCGCCGCCGGCGCCCTCGACGAGGGAAGCGAGATGGCGCGCCAGAGAGCCCATAGCAATCGCCCGCGCTGCTCCACTGGCAGGGCGACCCTAGGCAATGCCAGACTCGACGGACGAGGACGGGGCGAAGCACATGGCGCGGAAGAGGTTGAGCAGACCATCGGGGTCGCCGAAGGGCATGAGCGACGCGGACATCCAGGCCCTGCCCAGAGACGGGAACGCGGCTGCCAGGTCGAAGCTGATGAAGATCAGGCAGTGGTTGATGCGGTCGGCCAGGGGGCCAGCGCGGCGAAGTTGCGGTCCACGGCGAAGCCCAGCTGCACTTCGCGCGCCCACTGTGAGACGTACTTTTTG